TTGTTTGCAGGTGTGAGTGGTGTGACGGTGCTGACACAGAAACCTCCTGTTTTATCAGTGAGGAAAGGAGAGACAGCCACCATGGACTGTAACCTGGGGACTGTTACTTACTATGTCTATTGGTATAAACAGATTCCTGGAGGAGTTCCTCAGTATGTACTGAATTTTTATCATAGCTGGGGTTCTCCAGATTATGGCTCTGGGTTCTCCTCTCCAAAATTCACATCCACTCATCAGTCAACAAAAGATTATCGTTTGATCATCAAAAATGTGGAGGAGGGAGACTCTGCAGTCTATTACTGTAAGACATGGGACAGCTCTGTTGGTGAATACGCATCACAGTGATTCACACTGTGACAAAAACATCCCCACTGATACTTCTGCTTTTTGATGCTCTTTTTTTCACATGCTGACAAAAGATCCATTCAACAGACTCAGTGTAAACCCACCACCTTCAAATAGTTTTTGAATTATTTTAATGTTCATCAATGAAAACCCACCAACTTTAGAGAGTGTTTTTATAAACACGGAATTACTCTTTTTGATGCATTTAAGCTATCATCGCTGATATATAAAATGAGTATATAAAATATCAAGGAATATGATGACCACCAACAACTTGTGTTGTTGGTGGTCATCATCTGTTTCATAGCCCATCTTTTTGGAGAAAGACATTTCACACATGTTCTTTCTGTGTTTGTTGGCAGATGCTAATGCAGTGTTAGTGTTTATTCAGATACCTGCTGTCCACTCTAGATAAAGAAGGTGTTCTCAGCTGCAACACAGAGAAATGGTTGAATTATGTTAGATGGTCTAAACATTAGTTTCTTTTTCTTTTTTTATTCATATAGCGCATGCAATTACAACAGCAATTGACCAAATTGCTGTATAAAAATACAAAATAATTAGTACCAAATAACTCATAATATTAGTACCAAACACCAAATATCAAATAACACTCTTACTGTATTACAAGCCAGTGAATACAAAAGTGTTTTAAGATGAGATTTCAAAAGATTGACAGTAGGAGCCTGTCTGATGTGTAAGGGTAGATCAGGGGTAGGCAACTACAGGCCTCGAGTGGCAGTGTCCTGCAGGTTGTAGATGTGTCCATGATCCAATACGGCTGATTCAAGTTGTTAAATTACATCCTCAACATGTTTTGAAGTTCTCCAGAGGCCTGGTAATGAACTAATCATTTGATTCTAGTGTTTTGACCCAGGGTGATATCTAAAACCTGCAGGACACTGGCCCTCGAGGCCTGGAGTTGCCTATCCCTGGTGTAGATTATATCACAGTTTAGGCGTTACAACCCCAAACGCTTGATCACCTCTGTGAACCAGCCTCGACCTTGGTATGGCTAAAAGCAAAAGATCATTTGATCGACAAGATCTAGAGGGTGCACAAGGCTGTAAGAGGTCAGACAAATACCCCGGAGCCTGTCAATTCAGGGCTTTATAAGTCAACAATAAAATTTTTAAATCAATTCTGAAGTGAACAGGGAGCCAGTAAAGATAGGCAAGCACCGGGGAAATATGTTCATGTCTATTGGTTTAGTTTAGTCAATGACAAATGTCAATGTCTTTTTCCAATGAAGTTTTAACGTAGGTATTATTCCCTTTGTGCTTCTGGTGGCCTTGGTATAATTTTCCCATTTTTCTGATTATACGCTTTAATCAAAATATATACATTATGATGCTAATTAAGAAACAAATGAAGGCAAAAGAAAAAAATATGATGATGTAATAGGGTGATGGGGGAGGCACAGCTCCTCCTCTTGTTAGTTGTATTAAATGGCTCTTCCAGCACCTTTTCTTCAAATCAGTTCTTAGTTCACGTCGACATCATGCTGGTGACTCTCTGTGCTCTCATCACTGCTCTAACATGTAAACACTTTGACTTATATTGCACACATATATACTAATGTCCGTGTGTTTCTCTTGACTCCAAGACTTCTTGTTGTTTGCAGGTGTGGTGTTACAGTGGTGACACAGAAACCTGTTCTATCAGTGAGGAAAGGAGAGACAGCCACCATGGACTGTAACCTGGGGACTGTTACTAATGATGCTGCTCGTTGGTATAAACAGAATCCAGGAGGAAGTCCTCAGTATGTGCTGAAGATGTATCATAGCTGGAGTTCTCCAAACTATGGCTCTGGATTCTCTTCCACTCGTTAGTCAACAACAGATTATCATTTGATCATCAAAAATGTGGAGGAAGGAGACTCTGCAGTCTATTACTGTAAGACATGGGACAGCTCTGTTAAGGAGTATGCATCACGGTGATTTACACTGTGACAAAAACTTCCTCACTATTACTTGTGCTTTTCGGGTACAAACTCAGTGCATCATATAAACAATTAGTTCCTAAACATTGCTCTTTTAAATGTATTCATTGCATTTCTTTATTTCCACTTTCACTTTAAATAAACAAAGCACCAAAATATACACATATTATTCACACATAAAACCTCACATCATCAGCTTTTAATATTATTGTACTGAAAAATATGTTTGATGAAAAACATTCTCAACATATTAACTGGTAAATCTGATTTCAAGCCACGGTAAGAAGAAAAATGAGACCACACAAATCCTCTTTATATTACAGTTCAATAATTTCACTAATTCATGCTTCACTAAAATTCAGTCAAAATAAAACAAGACTGTATCAAACTCAGATCAGGTCAGCTAGTTGAAGAGAATTTTTATTTTGGATCAGCTTTAGTTCATTAGAAGCATGTTCATGAGGTAGAAAGAGAATGTAAACATATACAGATAAGTGAATTTCTCTGTGTTTATTTATTTCTATTGCTTTTTTTGTTTTTTGACATAGGAAAACACAGGGCTTAAATACACTGGGAGTAACGAGGGGATCAGACACAGGAGGAGAGCACAGCTGGGAGCAATCACACAGGGACATGGAAGAAGCAAAACTGGAAATATTTACAAAGAATGTAAGACTATCAAAGTAAAACTGGAGAAGGCACGGAGACAAGATTTGACACAAAAATCCAACTGACAGCGAAGACAGAGAGAACCTGGGTCACAGAGACAAGAGTAACTAACAACTCACAGGGAGACATGACTGACTGGATTAGGATTAGGGACACTGGAAAAAAAAAAAAAAGAATTCTGACTTTAATCTCAGAATTCTGAGAATAATCTCAGAATTCTGACTTTTTTCTCAGAATTCTGACTTTAATCTCAGAATTCTGACTTTTTTCTCAGAATTCTGACTTTAATCTCAGAATTCTGACTTTATTCTCAGAATTCTGACTTTAATCTCAGAATTCTGACTTTAATCTCAGAATTCTGACTTTAATCTCAGAATTTTGAGGTGGGCACCTGCAGGCTTCCAGCTTCGGTGACAGCGAT